TACTTTTCCACACATTCCATGAATTATTCAGATGATTTTTATCATAAATGTATTGTTACTGTAGATGTGGGTGCATTGAAGATAGATAGGTAAAATTGATAGATATGTAGATTTATAGCCAGCAATTTTTTATGAAATGAAGAAAAGATTTCCACTCTTGACCAATTGAAAACCTGAATAATACAAGTTATCCAATCACAGGAAAGCCATTTATGGTATCTTGGTTCTCAATTGGCTTCCACTCTGAACCAATCTGAAAGCAGAATAATACACAATATCCAATCACAGGAAAGCCATTCATGGTATCTTTCCCTCAATTGGCTTCCACTCTGAACCAATCAGGAAGCAGAATTACACACACTATCCAATCACAGGAAAGCCATTCATGGTATCTTGGCTCTCAATTGGCTTCCACTCTGAACCAATCAGGAAGCAGAATAATACACATTATCCAATCACAGGAAAGCCATTCATGGTATCTTGGCTCTCAATTGGCTTCCACTCTGAACCAATCAGAAAGCAGAATAATACACATAATCCAATCACAAGATAGCCATTTATGGTATCTTGGCTCTCAATTGGCTTCCACTCTGAACCAATGAGAGAGAATGCGATAATGAGACAATGCGATATTTTATCAAAAGAATCCCATTATCTTTAAGGGGTATTTTTATAAATTTCTGAAGTGCATATACCCAATACTCTTACCCCAGAGTCCCCAACCCCCAACGTGTTGGTCACATTATACCTCATGATACCAAGAAATGCAGAAATTCGAAATTTCATTTATCAACACTGTAAAAGATAGCAAATCTCTGATTTTTACCCCTAATAGATACCACAATTAGACCGTTGGAAATTTGATTAGCCAAAATCAGGGCTTAGGTGCACTTTAAAGGCCTTGTTTATTCATGATTGTTTAGTTGTATACCATTAATTTCTTGAAATTATTGCCCATCTCATCTGGCTCTGTCAACCTTTAGGTGTATACAAGATTGCAAATCAACAATACTTTATAATAATTAGATCTTATTAACTGAGCGGGAGGTCTGTACGGGATAATCTTGACCGAGGTCTGTACCCGACCGAGGTCAAGATTATCCCATACAGACCGAATAAGCTCGGTTGATAAGAGTTTTATTATATGACCAATATATCAATTTGGAAAAAAATGTTTTCGCCGTAAGATTAATATGCGATCTGACCGGTTAATACCGGAGAATCTAGATCAGTCCGCGATGCAATCTATCCAATCAGATTGCTCGATTTGCTAGTGTCCAGGCTCTAAGATTCACGGTCATATAATAATTGTAAATATTGACAGTACTGGAGTATATACCATATATCAGTGAAAAACTTTGCACAAATTAGTAAGTTCAGTAGACCTCAGTAGACCGTAGACCTGACATCTTGATAAATGATTATCAATAATTTCTATTCAAAGATATCTAGGGAACTTTAATGTGTAGTTCCAGAAATCATCCATACCCACCCCACAGAGGAATTTGGAATTTCCAAAGAGTAGGGGGGTCAGAGAAAGAACAAAAATTACAGAATTTGTATGGAAGAAAATTGGAATTTCCGGGGGGTATGGGGGTGTCTTAAAAAAATTCCCCCGTGAGAGGGTATGGATAATTTTTGGAACTACACATTATTAGCAAGACAATGCGACATAGGCAGTTGTGAAATTCAGATGTGAAATTCACAAATCTATACAATTTTCTTAGTTACCATTTTTACGGATGTATGGTTTGCACTTTATAGAACTAGAACTAACTTGGACTACGACTTCTTGATTTATGGGGCTAGGGCTATTTAAGGGACCAAAACATTTGCCAATGAGATGAAGTTTAATTATGATAATTAAACAATTATTGAATGAGGTTGAGCATGGTATCATAAATTATCAAGACCAAGGTTTGTGTTATCTGCTGAAGCGGAAGGCTGAGGCGAATAACACAGACCTGAGGCCTTGATAATTTATGATATCATGCGAAAACCGAATACAATAATTATTTTATTATGCATGTTATCAATTGAGAAAGCTACCAAGCTGGAGACAGTAGTGATAAAAGGGTGAGAAGATAAAAAAACGGATGCCAGTCCTTCGTCAGAGTAAAAAAGCTAGAGACATGCTGATCAACCATCTCATTTCGAATGGCAAAGCTACCAAGTACAGTGACCTTGAGTAAACTTGACAGGATAAATCTATCACCTATAAAACATTTTTGCCAATAATAGACTTATCCTGTTAAGCTCGCACACTATTGAAAATTGTCTTTGTTTTAAGCCAATCAGAATTGAGATAGTGAGTAAAATGTATAATAACAGCAATATTGTTTTTGTGATTGCTATTTTTATTATCATAGTAGATAGTGATGTACAGTGTGATAAGATAAATGTCACTAAGCACAAAAGAATGCTGATTAAAAATAACCTATATTTCTTAATCTAATGATTTGTAAAGAATTGTTGATTTTTTGGGTAGATTTAAATTTATTCTGTCCAAGATTTTGGTGCATTCTTGTAAATCTTTATTCATTCTATTAAAGACCCCTTGCCGCTTACCATGATGCATCACAATTTGTTTACATTTTCAATCGTGTCACCACTGAAAAAACAATTCCAACCTTTTGAATAAACTCTTAAAAGAACGTAAAAAAATCATTATTGTGCCTTAGTGCTATGTCGGAAAAGGATTTAATATGAAGTTATTATTCTATATATGAATCTTTGAATTTCATGGACCACGAAATTCATCTGTGACCGCTGTGCATCACGGTAAGTGGCAATGGGTCTTTTTTTATATCCTACAATTCATCAGATATTTCGATAATAATCAAAAATGTGTCATCATGTATTATTTGAGGTTATTCATGCGATGTTTTTCGTGACCAGAATCAAGATATGGTGACTAAATTGAATAACTATGATATCTTCAAATGTAAAAATAACACCATTAGTAAGAATTCTTAGGAATCACATTAAATAGGTAAGAAGATGCTCTAGGAGCGTGCACTGGGTTGCCCAATGTGTGGGTATATGCAGCTGAAGCTTATTTAACACCTAACTTTTGTTATGTACTGCTATTTGGGGGGAGGAAACTGTACTTAATTAATGATCAATGTTTATTCAGGAGTGCCTAATCCACAAGCGTGTTAGGGTCCTGTAAATATATACTAATGAAAAGACTAATACAAGATAACTATATTAAGAAGGATAAGTTAAAATATAGAACTATAAAACATATATAAATATATAACAATACTAAAATACACCTCCCTCTACACATCCCCAAACAATAAGTTTAATAATACTATTAATCATTGTGAAGCTCAAATAMGATTTTAAAATTATACAAGTGAATAGAAAAAAAAAGCTCTAAATATTAAAAGAATCTAAGACAAAGCACTTCTAATAAAATTCTTAAAAGTAGAACTATCCTTAGCTTCATGTATTTTATCATTGAGGACATTCCAGTCATTACTGGCAAAATTAACTGAGGTCCAGAGTCCCCACTTATGACATGCTACAGATTTCCTTATATTATGTTTAGATCTAGTATTATATTTATG